TGACTTCTCTCACTATATACTGGAGCTCTTATTTGGATGATGGGCAACAGTGAAAATATTCTTAAGATATCCTCTGAAGTTAGGCCTCTTCTCAGGTATTTCTGAGACTAAATTGATAAATGGAACTAAGACCATGTGTTATAAACTATAAGTGAATCCATAAGCCTGGGAATAATTGGAGGTTTGTTTTCCATACATTTGGGCTAAATCAACTTGGGAATATTTATAGCTATGGATAAGATCCTGTTTGGTAGAGGTGATCTAGTGACCAAGGAACCTGCAATCTTTTCTCTCTCTCTGGATTGTGATGTCACAGAGTCACCAACTCAAAACACTGTAAACCAAAATATGCCTGCCAAGCTTGTGCCCACATGCATGGTTAGAGGTCTTATCCCAGGATCTCTAAGAAGTGTTCCTAAGTGTCAGGGGTTGTCCTTGATAACTCAGATCTCTTTTTGACTTTGGTAAGAGCAGTTCCTCTTCTAACTAGATGGTGATCATAAGAAGATGACTTCTCTTCTCTGGACCCCAATACCCTACCTTTCAACAGGGTTGATGATCTCCAAGCCCTTCCAGCTCTATGATTCTATGTGCAGATTTATTTGCTTGGAATTAGATCACCTTTGAAAAATTCTTAATGTCATCTGGAGCCACTCTAATTTGCAGTGAGGCAAAGTGAGAATATAAATTAATGGCCACCTCTATTCTCAATGCCGCTTTGGAAAAGGTCCACTACTGCTTGCTTGCAGTAAATCTGAACTGGAAAAGAGGTGAGATAGCAGGGTTTTTTACAAACCACTCCAGAGAAACCCAAGCAATACACAAACAACAGATATATGATGTATTATTTAAGGTAACTTATGTCTGTGTCTGTGGTCTACTTATCAATTATCTTGACCTGAAAAGATGGCACAGACCAGAGAAGGGGTAAGAGAGAATTCTATTACAGAGTTTCCACTATTTTAATGGGCCAGAAGCAACCAACCAGATGGGAAATGTGCTTGATTAGGTCAACCAGCTTTAACTGGAAAATAAAATGGTCAATCCATTGTGGCCTTTCATCTAATTAATGCTTACTTGATTCAACCAGGTTTTTAAGTTACATCCAATTGTTTGATGTCACATAGATGTGACCTCCCAGTGCACGAAGTATTACCATTTGGCTGTTTGCCACATCCCACTCCTTGCAAGTTGATTCCACTTGGATTAGAGACAGGAATGTGGTGAGATGAGTAGCTTGGTAATAAAGTTGTTTGTACTAAGACTAAGACAAGGTAGACAGAATGGGAGTCCTTGGAACAACACTTTTTGGTAGAGTAGCTTTATGTAGTAAACCAAGTTATGGCTCTCTGATGAGGTATAACCATCTGCTATCTCCTCCTACTTACCTATGCCAAGTGAAATAAGGAACAAGTGGATCACTGAAAGCTGCCCAAATTTGAAACTGATTCAGCCTCTACACCAAAAGTATGGATTAACAAGGCCAGCAATAAAAGTATAATGGACTAATTTGAGAATCAGCTGACTTAAGGTATCATTTGGCTGAGTGGATGTTATAACATGCAGTAATGTATGAAGTTGAGCCCAAAAAAGGAAAAATTAGAATAAAAGATCTAAAGAGAATTTGAGCAATTTAAATTTCCTATAAACCTTTCTGTGTTTTCTAAATTTTCTACAATGAACCTGTATTGCCATTGAGATCAGGAAGAAAAAAATCTAAAGGGACTTAAACAATGCCTCATGGGATGATCAAATTGCTAAATTACATGGTAAAGTACAGAAAAACCTCAAATAAGCACAACCCAGTTTGCAATTCATTAGCATTTGTCTTTCTTTTTCCAATAATCTATTTTGAAAAGCGGAAAATCACAAGAAAACAAGGAGATATAATGAAACAAATTCAAATCTGTTTCAAAAAATACATTGTTTAGGGGCGCCTGGGTGGCGCAGTCGGTTAAGCGTCCGACTTCAGCCAGGTCACGATCTCGCGGTCCGGGAGTTCGAGCCCCGCGTCAGGCTCTGGGCTGATGGCTCAGAGCCTGGAGCCTGTTTCCGATTCTGTGTCTCCCTCTCTCTCTGCCCCTCCCCCGTTCATGCTCTGTCTCTCTCTGTCCCAAAAATAAATAAACGTTGAAAAAAAAATTAAAAAAAATACATTGTTTAAATTGTTTTCTAAATATTTTGTTTTGTACAAGGAATATAAGCTAGAAAAGAGCTATGAGGGAAAAAATCATTTAGGTCCCTCTTAACCACCAACTCAAGCCATTGTGCTAGTAGCAACAGGTGAAAAGAGAAATAATCAGTAGTATATAAGAAGTAGGCTTGACTCCACTAAGTCAAATGGATCATGGGAGTAGAGAGTGTTTATCTTCTCCACAGATAATTAAAATGCTAAGGCAGATTAAAGGAAGCTTAGTTTTGGTCAATGCAGAAGGCTTTAATGAAACAGAATCTGGGAAAGGATGGAGTGGTTTTAGATAGGGGTTCATGACAGAATCAAACAAAGGAAGACGTGATTGTGCATGAGACAGGATTAGTAGGCTATAAAAGGTAGGTTTGGTTGACACACCGGACTTGTGAAATACCAAAGAGGGAAATAGGGGACAGGGCCAGACAGAGAGCTAATGGATCACCCTCAGTGGGTCTTGTTGCTCAATATTTTGCAGGCTTAGGCCTGGGACTATAGTTCCTGGGCTAAAGGATTGGACTGTGTTTGGGAGAATCCTGATCCTTGAAGCCTATAGGTGCAGCCCCATTCCCCTCCCTCATCCTCAATGATCCTTCTATTCATACTAGAGGGCAGTGCCACCTCCTCTAAGAGAAATGAAGTCCTGTTTTTGACTTGGTATTTTTCTTGGAAACTTCCCTTAGACCTTGTCTCTCTAAAATCCTTAAATGCTCAGCTTTTGACTGAGACCTTTGCCACAGGTAGAGGATGATATTTCATGTCTCCCTCTGCCATGTCTAGAAAAAGGAATTAGAAACTCTGATCAAGGAAGCTGAAAGGCACCTTCAGCCTTTTCTGCATCCTTTTGAACAGCTTTAGCATAGTAAATAGACTACCTTAGGGTGAGAGAGGTTAAGCTCCTGTGAAGAGTCCAAGGGTGCTTTGACTGAAAGTGGAGGGGAAACTGCTGGGAAGAACTTTTGACTTTAAGCCTAGATTCAGGGTGAGTTGATAATGGAAAAAATTAAATATGAGTGAGAAAGGTATCAAATTATACCTCAGGCATTTCTTTAAAAAAGGCTTGTTCTAAAAGAATTAACTGCTTTACTGGCTGATATGTTTGAGTTCAGCTGTTTTAATAGATTATTTTTTACAATAAAAGGGAGGAAAAGTTTGCTTAACTGTTTTAAACATGCCTGTGACTTAAGTCTTATTGCTTTGGTCCATGTGATTGTGGCAAGCCATTGCCAATAACCCCTTGAAAGTAGAATTTGGAAAACTAAAAGCACAAAGTAAAAACAAATGTTCAAAGGGATTTATTTTAGGGGCCAGGGTAGGGGCTTGAAAGGCAGGGTGGACAGGGGAAGGGAGAAAAAGAACAAAACAAACGGAATTGCTCAATTCAATCCACTACTTCTATATCTTTCATCCTGACAATATCTCCTACATCTCTTCCTTTCACGTTCAGAATATAACCCTGAGGCCCAGTAAGATGCTCACCTATCTAGCAAGGACAATTCAATTATGTTCCTTAAACTCCCCTTACTTAGACAGGAAAAGAGATCATGACAATTGTGGAAAGAGTTTGAATAATAAGCAATAAGAAAACAAAAGAACTTCTTCTTAGCCCTGAATTACTCAAACAACACAATTAACCAGACTCTTCTCCTCCCCCCTATTCCCTAGGCATTCCAGTCAACTGAGGTCACAGTAGACTGTGGATTCAGATGTATGTTTGCTGGAAGATTTTTTTTCCTGGCACTAATCTCATAGTATCCGAGTTATAAATTATGCTCATTAAATACTTTCTAGAGATTCAAATGAAATGAAAAAGAAAACAAAGTGCCTCCTACTTTTTTTCTGTGAAAATAGAGACCTTCTTATCTTAGTCCAAGTTGGGCCTGTTATTTTGGAATGACTAAACTTGGAGGTAGGTGGTTCTCTCCCCTTCCTTAAGGTTCACATCCATTGCAGTTTACATTCAAGTGGCCTTTTTGGTGATAGCTGTGTAATGAACAAAACTTATTAAATTTACTTCCCAGGAGCTCCCCTCACACTGGAATTAGGCTTAAATAACCCTGTAGACTGGTCATCCTCAGAGATATAGTCATTCACTAATTTCTTGCCCAGGAAGAACAATTTGTTGAACTGGAGTGAGCTCTTCCATTGCCTCACCAAGAGAAGATTCTAATCTTGCAGCCCTTCACTTCTGGGTGGGAGAAAGAGAAAAGAGTAAGTATACCTTCTCCATCCTAGGCCTTTCACAAGATTTCAATATGAATGATTCTAAGCCACACAACGCCACTCTACAAGAAGAGCTTACAAATTGCTAAACTTTCCTGGATCACTGAAAAAATAAACATTATTATATTTGTCAGGTTTGCCTAACTAGATGTTGCTATTTATAAGGTTTTTTTTTTTTACAAATTTAACAAAAAAAGGGGGCATGTTAATATATAAGTAATCTTCAACTTACTGATGAGATGTGTCCTGAACATTTATAAGTCAATGATCTGGAACTTGGAATGCCTTGCTCCATAGAACTGTGTTATATATGTGGTGGTCAAGTTTCTGGGCCAGTCTACAAAGACTGATTTAACCCACATGGAGTAGTTACATTAGAGCTCTGGCAGAGGTCCTAGGTCCTGAGAGCAGAAGGAAAAGCATGCTTTCTTCCTATTATTTGGGTCCAAAGAAAACCCAAAGCAAAGGTTTAAAAGTGGGGTAATCTAAACTGACTTTTCCACTCTCATACTTGTTTTCAGTCTTCTCCCATCTCCCAGGGATCCATTGCTCTTGTCCCAAAACCTCCACTATGACCTTCCTTCTTTTCTTCATAACTGCCAAACTTCCTCATTTCTCCTGGTCCCAATCAAAATGAAAGTTCCAAGTTCTCCTGAACATCCAGCTCAGTTCACTTCCACTCTGATATGAGTGATTAGTCCTCCCTTGCCCTCCAAAAGGTACATCTATGATTGAAAGGCTCATTAACCCCAAATGAAGCCCAGTTGGTGAAATTTTAGGGAAAGTAACCAGACGAAGTGATAACCTTTAGGAAGGTTTGGAAAGTGGTGGATATTTGGGGACATGAGGAAGGAGATACTGGATAGACATCAGGGCCTTGCCTGAGAGGCAGCCACTGCAGTCAGTTCACCAAAGCTGTGTCCCTATCACAGCATCTCTTTTTCCTTCCTGTATGACCCCAGAGGGCTCTCTAAAGGTTTCAAATTTTCCCCTAACAGCTCCCATGACAGCAACAGCATATGAGAGATAGTCATTGGTGTTGTGGGTCTTTTGCAAGTTGGATCTGTCTCATTATGAGTCAGCCTAAAAATTCATAGAACATTAGCAACATTGTGGAATAGGTGATGTTACTGCATGACATCAACATAGGACATTTAATGAGAGATGTGAGATGTCTGAGAGCTCTTAGAATTAGGGCAAGCCTTCTGATATTTGTCAAGGGTACTCTTCTTGAGGATTTTTGTGATTTGCAAAGCCTGCCAAGGCCACTGTGGTCAATTAACATGTTGATTAAAGTATAAGTGCTAATGAGGCTAAGACCAGAGGTCAAATCCACTTTGGGGCCAATTGGCTTCAATCTGTTCCATATACTCACAGTCCACAGAAGCTTGCCCTCTGTCAAGGGGGTCCAGATGAGTGTGTATAAATTGCCTAAGTCACATCCATCTGCAGTGCTGGGGAAGCATTAGAAAGCACACAGCCAATGATGGTGAGTCAGCTGCAGTGTCTTCTGCAAATTCCAACACATTCTTAGGAATGGATAGGTTCTTACACAGTACTTGCAATGCCTATGCCACCCTACCAAAGGGGAAACCCTTCAAGAGCTTCCAAAAACTCGCCTGCTGTGAGAGAAAGATAGAGATACAGAGAAAGAGACTGTGTGTCTATGTGTATTTGTGTGTTTCCTTCCCTACAGGAAAGAACGTTCCTGGAAATTAGGTGAATGTGTGTCCCAGCTGCCTATCTACTTGTATTTACCAGTGGGGAAAAACAGAGCCAAGCTCCAGGATTGCAGGATTGCAGGATCCTCCATTTTGCAGGATTGGGAGGGAGCTTCAGGGGAGCCACAAACTCAGTACAGAAGCCTTTCTGGAGCATTATGACTTATAGAGGGTACCTGTGATAGTTGCAGAAATGAAGATGCACTGGGTTTCCTTGGGAGAGAAAGAGTTATAGAGATCTGACAAAGTCAATAGAGGCTAATGGGAAAATAGGAGGTATGTGGATGCATTTGGTAGTTGCTGCTACAATTGTGATTATTCTGAAACATGCTAAGAAACAAGGGAGTAGGAATGTGTGGAGATGCCCTAATGTTTACTTTAGAAGCTTGTGATTTCCAAAAATATGTGGAGGGAGAAATGAGTACTAGGGTCAAAGTCTCCATAAAAGAGAAAATAAGAAAGAACGATAGAGAAGGGATGCTGATAGGAGCCCCAGAAGGCAACAGATTCCTCAAAGATAAATATCTGGGGAGAATTCTTGATAATTAGTCTGTTGTTGCTACTGGAATCATACCGTTCTAGTACGGGAGGAGGGATGGGGGAAATGGTCCTGAATTCAAGCCAGGCAGTCAAGGTGTAACCAGTCTTATTTTGGTTGGCAATGACAACCTCAGAAGCGCTCAAGCATGCCACCAGAGGAAATGACATAACATCCCCTCAAAGATGGTCTCGCCAATGGATCTTGGGGAAATAAGATCATCATAATATTGCTGTGTTGCTTAGATAGATGTGAATCTACAAAGACCTGAAGTGGCTCATCATGTGGTCCAGGTACTCAACAATGAAACAGACAGGTGCACCTGCCTGATTAACTGGATAACGAGGCCAGCCTTGTTTGACATTCAAATATGTTATCAGTGCGGGAGGCAAAGGTCTCTCTCAGGAACAGGGCAGCTGACCTCCCTCAGATGCAGCTTGCTCTGCAACAGGCCTCCCGACTAGGTTTTTGCTCAACTCAGTGGAGCTTGGAAATGCACCAACTCCATCACACTCTGCCAACCGAGTGTAGGCTGAGACTGGCACCCATGCCAAAGGGAGCCCCAGCGTTGAAAATTTGGCAAGCTCCCGTGCTCTGTTTTCCTGCTAGCCATTACCTTATGGCTTGTTTCTCACCAGCTGCCTTTCTGCTTTTCTTCTTTGGAAGGCTGCAATCTCCACTGGTTGCAGGCCATGGCCTACTTGCCTGTGGGGCAGGAAAGACACAAAAATAGTGAAGAGAGTGAAGCAGAGCCAGCATGGGAAGACTCTAATTAAGCCAAAACTCTACTTACCCATCTTTGCCCACTGGTGGGGGCACAGGAAGAGGTTTTGTGAAGCCTTTTTTTCCAACCAGCCAGAAGGTCTCTTCTGTGCCTTTGCCCTTATTATAGAAAATACACAAAATCTTAAACACACTATAACTGATTTTCCTAAAGATGTCCTTATGGTCAATGGGGTAGAAGCACTTAGTTTGGTTCAGAAATTGCCTCTGCTTTCCCCTGTCACCACTCCCTGGAGTCTTCCTTCCTACACAGCTTCCTTGCTATTTATACCTGAGGCTCAGGCATGCTCCATAAGCTGACAGAGCATGCAGGTGAAAAGTGAACACCACTACAAGCTGTCATCCAGATGTTTTGCCTACCCACTGCCACATAGCTCCATCTTTGGGATGTGTGGCTCTTTGGCTTCATAGTAACCAAACTTCTGAATGCTGAATTCACGATTTTGTTTCTCATTTCTGCCATTATGTTTTCGCATTAGGCATCCTGTTGTCTTACATATCTAGAGTACGTATATTCAGAGTCTACCTCCCCAAAGTACTCGCCATCCAAAGGCTCTCACAAAACCCCCAAAATGGAATAGAAATGGAAAGCAAGATGTGCAACTTTAAAGACCAGGGCATCCTGGCTGCTATGAGATGTCTACATTTCTGTAGTGTTCTTTTCTTCTTGCAAAGGCATTCTTACAGGTAGAGAGAGACCCCAGGGAGGCTTCCATCTACAGCCCAATTCCTTGATTGTCATGAACCATGGGTCTGAGAAGAGAAAGAGGGTGTAAACTCCAGCTGATCACCCGAGAGCCTATGTGATGACCTCAGAGGAGCCAAATTTTCTGCCTCTGCTTTGCCCTCTCCTCTTTCCAATAAACCCTCCTCTCTGTGTTTCACTCTCCTCCTTTCAATTCTCTTTTGTCTGTTTTCTCATTGCCTCCAATCCATAAGAAAAAAAATGTGTTTACTAAGACTGAGAAAAGTAATGGGATGTGTTTCCAACTCATTAATCTGAAATATGGTCTCACTCTTGGCTGATCTCATTTGGCACAGTTCTAAATTATTTAACTTAGAAATTCCAATTAAGTTTTCCCCCCTTTAAATATCAAATCCATTGTTTTCTATTTTACATCACATATATTCATTCCTTAACAATAATGACAACAACCATAATAATAATAAGCATGTTTAATGGGATAATCTCAAAGCATTTTGGAGATATTTGGTTCAAGGCTCTGAACAAGGTCAGTATAGGAAAGTAGGAAGAGAATACCACAACAGTCCAAGTTGGCAACCAACTCACCCTAAACCTCAAACAATTGGGCTGTTTGAAGCCACTCTGTTTTCAGAAGAAGTGAACAACTTTAAAATATACTCATATCACTCATTCTTACATTTATTCCATCCTTACTGTACCAGGTCTGGAAATACAGAGATGGGTCTGTCCTTCAGGAGCTCACAGTATAGTTAAAAACACTGTCAGGTCATGCTGTGGGCTCTAAATACAAGCCCAACTCTTCTGCCTCCTAAGCTGTCTTCCTCACAGTACCTAGTACAGTGTCTCATACAGAACAGTTGTTCAGTAAATAGACTGTTCAATTAACTAAAAAACTCAACCCTTGAGCACTTGGAATACTCAAGGTGTCATTTGACCTCTTTGAGCTAAAGCATGCTTTTAAAGCTCAAACTTGAGGATCCCAACCCCCAGGCATATTTGGCTGTTTTTCTTGAGATCTAGAGGCTATCAGGACAGCATGCCAATCCCCAAGGGAGCTTTGTAGATGCCAGGATCGTCCAGATATTTGGGTGAGTCCTGCGACACACTGGGATGCCAAAACTAATGCTTGCAAAAGAGAATGGGAGTGTTATGGACTCAGGCAAGCTTCCAAATGAAAGAGTATGCAGTGGAGCCCCAGGGGCTCTCTGAGGTTTTGGAGCCCATCCAGGAAAATTCTTAGAATCCTAGCTTTGTTTACCCACCCTACTTCCAAAATTCTGCTGAAGAGAGAGAAAGGTGGGGGACAGGGGACAAGTATGCAACAACCAAAACCTAAAGAAAACCCTTTGACTTGGTATCAATCCCTAGGCAGTCACAGAGACCCTCTCTCCTAAATAATAGCATCTTATTTTTGGCCTGACACCTTTAAGACACTGTGGCATCTCCTGTGTTTTTTTAATTCTCACAAAAACTCTGGAAGGTGGGTTTATTATTAACCTCATTCTGCAAATAAGGACACTAAGTTTTGTCGAAATTGAATGACTTGTCAATAAGTAAACATAGGTAGAACTTGAAACCAATTTTACTAGACTCCAAGTTTTATTTATTTTCTTTTTACTATTACTTAGCTATTTTTTATTGAGGTATAAATGACACATAACATTATATTAGTTTCAGGTGCACAATATGATTCAATATTATAAAATGATCATCGCAGTAAGTCTAGTTAACGTCTTAGACTCCAAATTTTAAGTGCTCTTCCTTCTATACCATAGAGCTTTTCCAACACACTGGAGTCAAGGGACAGGTCTAGAGGCCAAAAAGCAACTGTTAGGAATTTTAAACCTTGTGATTAATGAGCTTCCTGATAATCATACACAAAAAAGAGGCCTCTATGTGAAGAAATGAAAGCACAGAGAAGATAAAGTTCAATGTCACACATTGAGTCATTGATGGGACAAGAATTACAGCCCAGACCTTCTGACCTTTGTGACTATGTCAATACAATCTCATTACTTCTTAGCTTGATGGCTGGTGTGTGTGTGTGTGTGTGTGTGTGTGTACGTATATGTGTGCATGTGCTTACACATGTGTATACTTGTGTATGTGTGTGTAAGGGGTTGAGGGTAGGGGTGAAAGAGGTTGGGGGTAAAAAAAGAAATCACAAGTAAAACAAGACTACTGCTTAGGGGTCTGCGAATCAAATACTATTTAGCCCCAGAATTCAGAGACAAGGTCACAGGTGTCCACCTCCAGCAAGGACAAACTGGCTGAGAACAACCATTTGGGAAAGTCTTTTTAGAATGTAAATCTACTTAAGAAGCCCTAGTAAACACATCTGATAAGTCTAGATATATACAAGGTCTCAGCAAGAAGCTTCCAACTTGTCAGAAAAATGGTAACCGAAACAGGAATCATGTAAGAAAAGAGGTAATAAGATGACATATCACCAGGCCATTAGGAGAGAAATATTGAAAAAGCAGAATTGGCCAGTTAAGCACTCATGATTTGTTGCCAGTACAGGACTAGAGGGAGTTGGAGTGGGCAGTAAGACAACTCCCCAGAGAGGCTGAGCTTGTCACCTCTAAATGAGTCCTCCCCCAATCTACCTCAGTTTCCTCATTCTGACAGCTTTCTTTGTAACCCCCACCCACCAAATTGCTCAACTATACTATGTTTTCTTCTCTCACCCAATCCAATCTACACCTTTGATTCTACTAAGGGAAACAACTTAAAGTGTCATCACTCCAATGAAGGAGATGGAATGGGAAAAGAGTGTTGTTGATCCAATCCTTGAGCCCAAGAGAAGAGGCTCTGATGGAAGAATTTCAAACTTCAACCAGCTGGAAGGAGAGGATGCTTTCAGCCATCATCTTTGCCATCACACCTGGTGGTCTATCAAGTGTGGTCCTTCTGACCCATGTACTAAAGCATTCCTTGCTTTCCAGCAACACAGACTGAATGAGGGATGGAAATATTGGCTCAGAATTTGTGAAGTGTGCTGGTGATATGGTCTTATTGGGGATATATTGCATGCCCCCAAGGGACAAGGAATCTCCTGTCCCCCAGTCCCTACTATGTAATGTCCAATACCTGCTTCTGGTGGGGGACCGGGGTACAGAGGCAGAAAGGAGCTCCCATTTTCTCCCTTCCTTCTTTGGGTCTTACTTCCTATTCTCTTCTTTCTTCTCATTGTTCCTTCCTTTCCCCTGGGGCCCTCTCTCTTCTCTCTTAGTATCTCCCTCTCAATCAGGAAGCCTCTACCACCTTAATAAGCAAGACCTGACATGGCCTTAGGGGAAGTCTCTCCCTGCCTCTTCCTCCAACTTGCTGTAGTACATTCCCAAATTCCCTGGGCTAAGGGAAAATGTGAAGCTAGAAAGGGCCCTTTTGACGTAGTCTTGCTTTTGTACTCAAAACACCCAGTGATGCAATTATTTCTGACTGGAATTTGGGGTACAATAAAAACCATAAAGGTGGGGGTATATTTTTTCTTTTCAGTTGCAAAAGTGTTACCTCTTCAGCTCTTCAGCTTTTAAATGAGGGAATCTGTTCCCAGCAATACAGAGAGGAAAGTGCCACAGGAGATAAAGCTGCCTTTGTCCTCCTCTACTGAGAAATGACAATATATAGAGAGATCACAAAAGCCTTGGGTGATTTGATTCACTGTTCAAGTAATATTGCCACTCCTATCCTCTCAGTGAGTTCTCTGCAGAAGTGGGAAAGGAACCTCTGTCCCCTCATAAATGACCTGCTAGAAGATATTAGGATCTATTGGAGGAGACAAACTAGAACTAGCCAGAAAAGGAATTGATCAACTAGAATCAAGCCTTCCAACCTTTAACTTCTGAAATCCTTTCACATGTAAATCGCTGCCATTTGAGGAAGGCATGCCAATGACAGAAACAAATTGTGCATCACTCAGTACCCAGGTGTGGCTTTGCCCAAATATAATCATTGAGAAAATAATTTTCCTGTGCAATGGTATCATAGAAAGGGTACTGAGTGGGAATTCAGGCTTCCTGGGTTTTGGCCTGATTCTGCCATCAAATGACTGTGTGACCCTGATCAAATTACTTCACCTCTCTGGGCCTTGATTCTTCAGCTCAAAATGAAGAAGTTAGATGATCAGATATATAGAGTCTCTTATAAATGGGGCAGCCAGGGGCTCTGGGGTTATCCAGAGGAAGATGAAAAGAATCCAGTGGAGATGGGATGGGAAAGAAAGAAAGAAAGAAAGAAAGAAAGAAAGAAAGAAAGAAAATGGAGGGAGGGAGGGAAGGAAAATGGGAGGGAAGGCAGATGGAAGAAAGGGAGGAAGGAGGGGGGAAATTATTCTAATCCTGAATCCCAGATCAATTGATAGTCCTAACAGAGAGAAAATGTGCTACAAAATGTTTGTCTTTCATAGGAACTGACTTTATTCCTCCTGGTCCTTGGGGAAAGTCATAAAGCCTCTCTGTAAATGGAAGGTTAATGGTGTGAATGAAAAATTAGAAAGGGTGGCCACTGAGAAGGCAAATAGAAAGCCCAAACTCACTAATAACTTTAGCTTATTGAACAATGTCTAGAACTGCCAAAGAATAAACAAAATGGAAGTTAGAAAATGTAAATAATAGTGCAGATCATTGAAAAACCAAATTCAGGGCAATTCTTTAAGAGAGAAAGATACAGCTCATAGTCTGAAAAATTCAGGAGTCTTAATCCCCATTATTGTAGCCATACTTAAAGAGAAGAAAACCGAGGAAAAAAGGAACAATCTCTTGGGAACTGAAAATAGGGCTGGATATTCTACCCAAATTATAGCTCTAAGTCTCAGACATCCAGGTAAACTCTTTCAGCAGACCATGACCTCTCCAGAAGCAGGTGTGTCCAAGTGGTTTGATTTTAAAAAAAACAAAAGGACATTATACCCTGAGCTCTGTTCTTCCTCGAAGCTCCACTTCATAGCCCTCACTTAGAGCTTGAAGAATTGTCACGGTGCTGTGACTGACATGAATGCGATAAGCTGTAAAAAGAAAGACAGAAATGACTCTGGATCCTTTCAGGTAAAATCAATGAGAAAAATATTAATGTAATAAATACCCCTGCTTCTAAATGAATGAGACCCTAAGAAAAGTGCCTGAGAGAGAGCTTCAGTTAGGGTTTCACAGGAGGAGGAACAAGGAGTGATGGCCTTCCTCAACAGACCCAAATAAGGTGTTAGGTGTAGCACCTATCAGCCTCCTGGACACTATCTGAGATGAAAGGTCATGCAATAGAAAGGTGTTAATTTAATTCGAGGGTTGTGATTGAGAAACCAGCTACCACTACTGTGCTCCCAGCTGAAATGTGACCTCCTCAGAGGGAAGTTCGGCTTCAGCAGCTTCTTTCACAGGCTGCTGCTAAAGCAGAGCTCCCAAGGTCTACATATCCTACTTAAGAGACAAAAAGGTGTCTTTCTTCATACACATCTATACAACTATCTTTCAGTATTGCTGCACTTAAAATAAAATATCACTGAAAAATGTCCCAAGACCTCTGTCAACATTCTGTGGCAATTGTGCATTTATAGCTTTCCTTTGGATGCATACATCTAGCTGTGTATACACACAAATGTATTCTTTTCCAATTAATGAGTCCAACCTGGGATAAGAGTGTTCTACATGGAGAATTACAACTAAAAATTTTATGTAGAAACCAAGTATAATTCTTTGGTGATGAACAATCATTTATAAACTGAGGTAGAATCCTTGACTTTCCTGAAAACTATTATCCTATGAAGTAAAACCTTGTTTAAGCTGGGTCTTGAATAAAAGTTCAAGACACTCACAAACACACTTGAGAAAATAATTCATTTAGAAGCTGAGAGCAATCAAAGCCGGAAGGCATGTCTAAAAAGAACTGCAAGAAATTTCTGCTTTGTGTACTTAAAATAATTTTCCTTCTTTTGACAGTTCAGTATTGTTTGTGTCTTCCTCACTAACTCATGGTCACCCAAAACCTCTGCTCAAAAAGGGTCCCTAAAAGCCACATGTTCATCTGGGTGTCCCTAGCCAGCACTATGTGTGCCATTCAACTAGCATCTGGTCGTCAGTCATAATCCTACTAGTGGGGAATACCCAGGTCAAAAGAGAGAGATAGCTCATTCCAACAAGCATCCAGTTGTGTGGCAAGGAGAATCACACCATGACTGGGTCACTAGTTACTTCCAGTTAATTCAACTGGGCATAAAGGAGACGTTGATGAAATTAATTTTTCAATAGACCTATGACATGTCCTGATCTCATATCCAACATGAAGCTACCTCTTTATAAATCTTCAATCAGGTGTGGAGCTTACTGCCATATTTCACAGCTCCTTTAATGCTGTGACTACATGTGTATGTTTCTTTGTATCCCTCACAATGTCTTCCTTGCACAGTCAATGCTTAATAAACACCTGCTGTGCATGATTCACTCCATTTTCTTATTTCTAGCTGGTCACTGGACAAGGTGCTGCTTAAATCTGAAAATTCAATTTCTTCTCTCAGCTCTGTATTTCCAATGTGTAATGAGTGGAGTCTCCCTGGTGCAGACCAGAATATGACTTCAGTCTTCTAGAAGCTTACATCAGTCCAGAATACCGTGCCAAATCTGCATTGAGGTTCCATGATCAATTTCACTTCATCTTGGGTTGCACTTCAAGAACAAAGTCATATGCATGCAGCGTTTCCTGGATGACTACTTCCATGGCTTCTGCCATGTCTGTGGAGTTCGAAGACTTTCCCAGATGCCAGAAAATTTATTCTGACAACAGCTTCTAAGTTCCGTGCTGCCTCCTTAATCATGGCCGCACAGGCTAGATTGACTAAGACTGGACCCATTGTGCAAACCTGTTTCTGAACATGAGTGATGAGGAGTGGGGTCAGACAGGGCACCACCCACTGTGATATAGGCCACCATATATCATCAGGGACTAGTTTGTGTATACTGCTGGAGTTTGGGAAGAGCTTGTCTTGCCCAGTAGCAGCCAGAGCCAGGGTTGCTAAGAGCTTAAGTGTTTTTAAAACATATAATCCTTGGGGCGCCTGGGTGGCGCAGTCGGTTGGGCGTCCGACTTCAGCCAGGTCACGATCTCACGGTCCGGGAGTTCGAGCCCCGCGTCGGGCTCTGGGCTGATGGCTCAGAGCCTGGAACCTGTTTCCGATTCTGTGTCTCCCTCTCTCTCTGCCCCTCCCCCGTTCATGCTCTGTCTCTCTCTGTCCCAAAAATAAATAAACGTTGAAAAAAAAAATTTTTTTTAAAAACATATAATCCATGTAAACTGTATATAGAACCTATTATTGTTTTCTACACTTTTCCTATATTAGCTTAAACAAATTGCTTTGCTCAACCATGATAAAGTTAAAAGCACATTGTGATTCTGACATTGCCTTAGTAGTGGCAGTAAATAACAAATAAAGAGGCACCAGCAACAGACAGATGGCATAATGGTTTGTACAGTTTTATTCCCAAAGAAGGGGGGAAGAAATGGTATCTTTGGTACCATGCCTGTTTTAATAGAAACTAAAGGTTTCATATATAAGCAAATTGGAATTATTTCAGATTTCCACGCTCCTTAGGTTGAGGGATTACCGCTCCCTCCACCCCAGGGGGGGGGGGCGCTATTTGATAAAATCAGAACTCCTGGGATCCTGACTAGCTCAGAAAGAGGACTAGAGCAGCAAACAACGGCACTGTAGGAGGCAGCTTACTCTGGGTATGTCTCCACAAACTAGGTTAAAAACTAAACATCCCAGTCCCTTACTTATTTCTCTTTTCAACATGACTTCCCCAAACCCACCCGGCTGGCCAATTTTTTTTCTTTACCCAAAGGACACTTTTAGTTGCTTTGAGAAAATTGACTATTTCAGTGTCACTTAGCTACAGCTTCATTTCTAGAACAAGAAAGGTACATGTTTAATCCAACATCACCCCCTACTGGCTTGCGATTAGAGACCAGGAAATATGTGTATAGAATCTCCTTAATCTTCTCAAATTATGTTTTATTAAAAAAAAAAAACATTGAAATCCCAAGTACCCTGCTCTCCTTCCCCCTCTCAAAGAATAATCACTTTTCCAATCCGATCCCATCACTTAGGTACTCACGTAACCCTGTTGATTCCATCCGAGAAGCTGTGTTCACAGTGTCTCCAAACAGGCAGTATCTGGGCATGGTGAGACCCACCACTCCTGCAACAACGGGCCCTGTAGAGTAGCAGTCGGTTGGGGTTACAGTCAACAGGTATACATCCAGTGTTAATAGAGGAACACCGCCAAGGGAAGGAATGCTGCTGCATAAAAGAACAAAGTTGCCGCCAAATAGCTCTGGGAATCTGAAGGAAGTGCTATAATGAGTACTAAACCCTTTGCCCTACAAGAAAGCACATTTATAATGATGCAAACATGACTACCTTTCTGATTTACGCTCTTGTTCCAAATAACAGTTACACCCAAGGTGCTTGTATCTGTCAACAGGGACAAAAAAGCATAAAACCCAAGCCAGAAAGGCCTGGGCAGGGACTTGGGATCCAAGTATGTTTGTTACAATGAAAAAATGTAACCCTTTCATATGTTTTAGGATTAGAAGGAGGGATCTCATGGGGCTTATTTCCCAAGAGAATTATTGTTAAGACAATTGGAAAATCTAAAAAGAAGTAGAATTGACTTTAAGTCATTTGTATTAGGGGCATAGACAAGCAGTATATATAGATAATCTAAGAATATTTTCTATTTGTCCTTAGAATGTTTTTATTTTTACCTCTCAATATGCCCATATTAGGTGTTCAGATAGTGAACATTACGTGAAAAAAAGCCCAGCCACCATACTGAAGTCCTAATTCAGGAGTATCTAAAAAGTTCTCCATACTTACTTTTCTGGCCTGTGCTCTGTTTCTATTTAAAATTGTTCAGTATAGGGGTGCCTGGGTGCCTGAGTTGTTGGGTGACCAACTGTTGGTTTTGGCTCATGTCATGATCTCATGGTTTGTGAGATCAAGCCCTGTGTTGGGCTCAGCGCTGACAGCACAGAGTCTGCTTGGGATTCTCTCTCTCTCTCTCTCTCTCTCCCCCCCTCTCTCCCTCAAAATAAATAAATAAATAAACTTTAAAAATAAAATAAAATATTCAGCATTACCTTTTTGCTATTTCCTTAATTAAATAATTGTTTTTGCTTCAAAGAGTTCTTTCTTTAATTTATAAGGATAAAAATCAGTAAGAACTACAAAACTTACATCTTTCATTTTAATTCATTTCTCACTCATTCATATACATTCACTGAGCACTGAGCTAGGCACCAAGGGGAATAAAAAAATAAATGTAACACATGGTCTCTGTTCTTTAGGAGTTTATATCTAATTGAAGAGAAAAAGCTACTGAACAGGAAGGAATTAAGCAACAACCCAAAACAATGTATGATTGAGGTAAGATAAGTGGTACAGGCAAAAATACTATAATAGTTTATAAAATGGGAGGGGGGATGCTTTGGGGGACATGGTTCAGTCAAGAAGGGTCTAATGGAGAAGGTAGGATTTTATTTGGCTCTTGATGGGTAGGTAGGATTTGAATAGGAAAAAAGGGACATGAATCACTGGTCTGTGGTTTGGATTGAGCATGGAATTTTGGGAAGTTCTTTGAGAAAACAATCTGCGTAGTTCAGGGGGTAGGGAAAAACTGGAGACAAGATTGAATATTGGGTTGTTCAAGATAGAGGAACTTGAACCACTAGAAAATTTTGAGCAGAGTATTACATGATGAAAATGATTTTTCTTTTTTCTTCTCAGATCAGTGTACAGAATGCACTGAAAGGGGAAAAATCATGAAAACCTGTTAGGCGGCTATTGCTGTAATGCAAGCTAAAGGTTATGAGTACTGGAAAGGAGGAGATGATGGGGAGGCAGAAAGGGGAGATAAAAGAGAGACGTTATGAAAGGAGAACCAACAGACTTGCTGGCTGTCTGACAACCATGAGGAAACTGGCATGGGCTTATGGTTTGTGGAAAAAGACGACTTGAGGGGTGCCTGGGTGGCTCAGTCGGTTAAGCATCAACTTTGGCTCAGATCATGATCTCGTAGTTCATGAGTTCAAGCTCCATGTCAGGCTTTGTGCTGTCAGCTCGGAGCCTGGAGCCTGCTTCGGATTCTGTGTCTCCCTCTCCCTCTGCCCTTCCCCCACTTGCACTCTGTCTCTCTCTCAAAAATGAATAAAACAGTAAAAAATTTTTTAAAAAATAAAAAAAGATGACTTAAAGCTTTAGATATGTTGAATTCAAAATAATGGTGAATCATCTAAGAAGAGATGTGCTAAGGAGGGTTGGAGATATGAAACTGAAGCACAGATGAGAGATGAGGGCTTTTCTTTAAAAGAAAAATACTGAACACTTGCTGTGTGCTAAGCATTCAGGATGCAAACATGAGTAAGATATGGTTCCTGCCATCAAAAAGCTTATAGTGTAGGGGCACCTGCTTGGCTCCATCAGTAGAGCATGTGATCTCAGGGTCATGAGTTCAGGCCCCATATTGGGTGTAGAGATTAATGTAAAAAAAATTTTTAAAGAAATGGATAGTCTAATGGAAGGTGAGACAAGTCAACACAGATTATGCTGATGACTACGAGAAGGATGGATAGAAAGAAGCAAGAGTACAAGCAAGGAAATGTTACTGCAGTGACCCAGATAAGAGATCCTTGTGGCCTAGACTTGAGCAGTGAGAGTTGAGTAGAGACAAGACAGATTCAAGAAATATTTAAAAGGTAAATTGCACTACTAGGTATTTATCCAAGGGATACAGGTATGCTGTTTCAAAGGGGCACATGCACCCCAATGTCTATAGCAGCACTAACTACAATAACCAAAGTATGGAAAGAGCCCAAATGTCCATCAGTGGATGAATGGATAAAGAAGATGTGGCATATATATACAATGGAGTATTACTCGGCAATCAAAAAGGATGAAATCTTGCCATTTGCAATTATATGGATGGAACTAGAGGGTATCATGTTAACCTTAATCAGCCAGAGAAAGACAAATATCATATGACTTCACTCATATGAGGACTTTAAGAGACAAAACAGATGAACATAAGGGAAGGGAAACAAAAATAATATAAAAACAGGGAGGGGGACAAAGCATAAGAGACTCAAATATGGAGAACAGAGGGTTACTGGAGGGGTTGTGGGAGGGGGGATGGGTAAGAGGCATTAAGGAATCTACTCCTGAAATCATTGTTGCACTATATGCTAACTAACTTGGATGTAAATTTAAAAATAAATTAAATAAAAATTTTTTAATACATACACACACACATAAAAATAAAAGGTAAACTGCCCAAGACTTGGTAAATGGTTGAATGGTGAAAGTCAGGGTGAAGGAGGAGTCAAGGAGGATCACTCCCAAGGCTAACTGGAATAACTAGGTGAGTGATAGTACCACCAACTGAAATAGAGAATAAATACCAGAAGAGGAGGAAGCTTATGTAGGAAGAAAGCAATTCTGTTTTGGATTTGAGTCTAATGTCCGTAGAAAGGATTTCCATGGGACATTCAGGAGGAGATTTCAGCAGCAAGCTTGAAAGACAAAACTGAAGCTTAAGAGGGAACACTTGTGCTGAAGGTGTGGGGCCAGAAGCCATCAGTGTACAAGTGGTAGTTAAGTCATAGACGTGAATGAGAGAAGAGTACGTGAGGAGAGAAAAACAGTGGATGAAAGACCGAACCTTGAGGAATATCAACATTTAAGGAACAGAAAGAGACGGAAGAGATTATCAGACAATGGTAGGAAATGAAAGCCAGGTTGGAGTGGGTTGCAAAACCGAAATCAAGATGTTCAGAGAGCAAGGAGACCACAACTCAGAACACTGCAGAAAATGGGGGAGCAGCCACAATTAGAGAGCAGGAATTCCTAAAAGAACCAGTAAATCACAAGGAGAAAAGGCATTCAGAGAGTGAGGAGTATGTCATAAAAGTGAGTTGAGGGAAGTGTTAGGCATAAAGTAATCAGGGGTGTACTACCCTTTTTCTAATCTTCCCTTGTGGTACATAGGAAATGTTGGCTCTAACAAGAAAGGTAGACTGAAAGGGTTTGGGACCTAGGACAAGGACTGCTGCCCACTGGGGTAGTGCAGGTGCTGGTGAGAGAGTAAAATTTGGGTAGGCATAAAGAAACTATGCAGCGCTAGATACATGGGTAAACCAGCTGCTAGTAATCAAGGAAGCAATACCCTCCCCCACCTTTCTACCCTTCTCTTGAAGCACATGGGAATGTCTTTTCTTATTTTAGCTGGCTGTTACCTGAATGCAGGCCTATTCGAATCCGGACTGGGACCTCTGGCATGTGTCGCATCTTGAAGGTACCAACGGAGCTCAGGATATCTAGGGACATGTTTGCAATCTCAGCTGCATGCCTACTGCCATTCCTCTTTGGGAGGCCTGAGGCCACCATGTAAGCATCTCCAATGGTCTCTACCTGGGAATTATGGGAAATAGAATTAGCAGGCAAATAACGTGTGTGTTGTATGCATGCGTGTGTGCACACATGTGGATGTGTCTATGTTTCACAGAGCTTAAGGAATATGATGGAGGCCTACTTCTTGTAAAGGGAGGAAGACAGAGCAAGGCTCTCAGTGGTTCACGGTCTGGCTGCACATTAGAATCATTTAAGGAGCTTTATGGAAAAAAAGTACTGATGTATAGGTCCCACACCCAGAGATTCTAAAATAGGTGCAGCTACTTTGCAGATTCCTGCCATTCCTAGAGAACTATCAGTCTCCAGGTAATTCCTGGAGAAAGGGGAAGGGAAGATTTCTGGTACCTCCCATGGGTTTCCATGGAAGAGCCCCCTAGCTGAAAGTGCATATGGCACTCTTCTAACAAAGCATTTCTCTAGATGATTTCAGGTAAATGAGCTGGGGCAGCCTTAAGGCAAATATAGAGAAAGGGAGAGGAAGGAGGTAGAAGAGATTGTCCCTTCTGCTTTGCCTTGGGTCTGAGAACTGGGTCTTTTTCCACCAGCTACCTCCTCCTCTCCTGGTGCTACCTATCTAAGGAGGAGCAGTACGTGCCCTCAACTGCTTTGCAGGGGGCAGTTAGAGCTGGATACTTGTAAAGAAAGGCAATCTATGTTCCTCATCTTCCCAACAGAACTGTCCTCACTCTTAGGTGACTAGTAAATTGAAGCTTTTCAAGTAAATCCAAAAGATAAGTAAGCTGAAAGGATTCCCATGAAATGTGCCAGTCAGGCTCTGCTAGGATAAGTTTGGATCAAGTTAAAATCCATGTTCTTCTAGACAACTGCACTCACAGAGTGCAATAGTTAAGACCATGAAATTCTGATGTCATACCACCTTGGTTAGAATCCCAGATACACCATTTACAGACTGCATGGCTTTGGGAAGCCACTTAACTTCTCTGTGCTTTAGTATCCTTATTTGTAAAATAGGATAATGGCAGTACCTACCTTATAGAGTTTTCTAAGAACTAAATAACTTAATATGTGCCAAAGCACTTAAAACCTGTCTGGTAGATGATAAGGGCAAGCTATCAGCAGCAGCAGCCATCATCATCATCATCATCATCACCAAACTGATATGTCTTGACATAAACCATGGGATGGTGGCTATGACTTAGCTCCAGAGAAAGTTTAGCAATCAGCAATAGGCCCCTCATCATGCCTTTCTATATAGCCAATAACAATAATGCTTTGAATCCATGGGACTTTGTACCTCACCATGCTTCCATCCAGGGCCTCCCTTACCTGGTGCAATTTGAGAAGAGGATCCCTGCCCTCAAATATGTATGCCTGCCTGCACAGAGGAAGGCAATGGTTATGATGCAAATGTTACATGGGAGGGAGAGACTCACTGGCTGGCCATTATCAAAGAATAGTGGTTGACTCTTCCCCCAAATGATTCAGTCACCCAGGGGTCCCCACCAGTATGGATGAAGATATTAGAAGGCAGGGAGCATGGGCACTGCCTAGTCTTGGTGTGAGACTGCTGTGGGGAATTGTGGGTGGCGTATGCCAGCATAAGGACACAAAAAAAGCAGAGGATGTATAGAAGGAGGTCTGGTTGAGATTGGGTGGTGGCAGGACAATTGAAACTGTAAACAAAGCACCAACTTCATAATTCTGAAGTAACCTTCTTACTTTCATTTCTGATTATCAAGTGCCAGGGGAGGTGATTCCAATTTTATAGGTAAAGAAAATGAAAACACAAACAGGTTTGGTGAGTCACTTCTGGTTTAATTTTTATTTCCTTCACACTGTTGCTTTTAATAAACAGCAGTGAAAAGTTAGATTTCATTTTTGTATTTGTATAGCCCTGTTTTTTTTCCTGGAAATAGCCTACTAACTCCCTTCTGCAGCCATAAAGTACCAAAAGATCTTATGGCCTCAGCCCTAAGACTTCCAACAATTGTCTGAACAGTATCAGCTTCATTGATTAAACCAGTGGCTGTGTTACTGCCCATGCTGAATTATCTTTGATTTTAGTTTCAATTGAATTAGCTTTTGGTGATTTGTTTTTCTCTTCAAGCTGCTTGAGCTGTACAAGTTAAGACAGGTAGTCTGATTCCATGGATTTTTCCTACTCTGTGGTTTCCATGTGTGCTTCTTGATTAGTTTGTACTCCTGCTGATTGACAGGTATGATGTCTATTTCTGAGCCCTATTTAGGTAGCTTGGCCTACCCCTCAGGCTCCGTACCTGACCTGAAAGGGCCCTGCCTAATCTGGGATAAACTGCCCTGTGTGTGATTTGAGAGTTGGAACATTTCAGACTAATGTGAAGGATCCAATGAATGGAGGTACTCATTCCACAGCTCTACCTTGGTTCCTGGGACAGAGGAGCTGTCTGAAGTTTGGGATGCCTGGGGCATATTTTTCCATCAATAAGACAAGTATCCATGTTGCAGACAACATGGAAATGGCATTGCACAGCTGTAAGATTTTTAGTCATTTTCTGCCTCAATAAAGACAACACATAAAATCAAGGGTAAGGAAGCATGGCACCTGAAATGAGTGAATGTAGTCATCTGTTCTCTGCTCATCTTCTGCAACCTTGATAGGAAGAGTGGAAATTGACAGCTGGAGGGGCGGGGGGGGGGGGGGGGAAGGTGGGGGCAGGTGTTTGCAACCTCACAATTAATGACTTCCCTAGACCTCAGACTACTAAATAGGCTCTTGGTTACCCAGTAGCAACCCCAAAGAGCCTCAGGTCTAATAGTTCTTTGACATATGTAATGCCAGAGTTCCCCCCTGTATAAAAACATTACCTAAGGGAGGAAACCAAATTTTAGCAGCATGTATTAGATCTACACAAGCTTTACCAAGAGGAACTCTGTAGCAGTCATCAACTAGGGGCAAAACATCAATGCTTCTTCCCCTTCCCCTTCAGTACCTAGCATGATAGTGCCTACAGTGTGGTTACTTAGCCACTGAAACACAATAAGCCTTTTTTGCTCTTCTTAGTCTCAGTTCTAGAAAACAGCTCAAAGGAAATCTAACTAGCAATCTCTTGCTGGGTTCATACTGTTACTTTGTAAAGTGTGAAATTGTATGCAGTCTATCCGGCCTTCATTTCTAATAAGGTACCAATGGAAGTGGTATACTATTTAAATTTTACTTCCTAACTAACCACATTCAGTAAAATCCTACCTTTTAGTTTTGGAATGCATACCAATAAGCCTCATACAAAAATTTTCTCTCTAGAATATATATGTCTCTGCTAAGTAACTTACCTTGTAGACATCATGACTGCCAATGATGGCATCAAAGAGTGTGTACAGGTCATTGAGAAGATCCACCACCTCAATGGGCTCACTCATGGCAGAAATGGTGGTGAAGCCCACAATGTCACTGAAGTACAAGGTGACCAAGTCAAAGCCCTCAGGTTCAACCGTGCAGCCCTTTTTGAGGGATTCAGCAACTGACCTGAAAAGCAGACACAACTATTCCTCAGAGAATATAGGCCTCCCTGCATGTCACACACACATCTGCTAGAGCACAGTTTCTTCAAAAATCACTGCCAAGTAAATGATGAGTAAGTAGATGTCATCTGGATGAAAACATTAATTATTTAATTTATTCTATAAATATATATTGAGTGTTTATGATGTGCCAGGCACTGTTCCAGATGCTGGAATACAGCACTGAACAGACAGCCTTTGTCTGTGTTTTTGTGGAGTTTTTTCAGCAAGCTATCCTTCTTCCTCAGCTGTCCCTTCACTCGGGGAATGTTCCTAGGTGGCTGCTTTGCATGAGACTAGTTTCCCCTATTGTCTCCTAGAAGATTACCTTATGACATGATAAGGTGCCTTGGAAATTTTGGAAACTGTATCAACAGATAAGGCTTTGAACTAAGGAAGAAAAAACCTAGAAGAACAACACTGCTACTTTCTTCTAGGAGCTCAAAGAACTGCCTCCTTTTAATTGGTCAACTTCTAGGCAAAGTCATGAAGTGACACATAGAAAAACTGAAGCACCAAAAACTTAAATGACCAGCATGATCCACAGGTAGTGGGAAATTAGGAAGTGTGCTCTTCTCCCTTGGTTTCCAATTCATCTTTGATTTGAAGGTGTGACTCAAACCTACTGGGAGTAAAGAGGGTACAGGACAGGGGGAGGGAGCAGTTAGTTGATGGGTAATTTTTTTTCTATTTTTAATAGAACACACTGTTACAAGGATTCACACTCCTCAGGTGTTCACACATACGGTGGTAGCATCTGTGTTAGAAGCTTTTCCGTTTTCTGTTTTTCAATTTCCAGCTCTTCAGTCCGTTCCCGGATCAAATCTTCCAAGTTGCTAGAATATTGTTCCAACATCCGAAGCATGGAATCAATGATATTGGTCTTCTTCCCTTTATTGAAAGTTTTAAACTGGAGGTAAAACAGAAAAAGGAGCCAGGGAATTCTTAACCCACAAACTCAGAGATGATGGCTAGGACACCTTATCAAAAATCCCTTCCTCCAAAATGCCAGGGCATGAGAAGTAAACCTAGGTATAAGTAGGAAAAGTCACCACTCAACTTCATTGTTACCTGGCCCATTCACAAGACTCTTTTCCCCTGAGCGCTTCTTCCCCTACCCTTCTGGTTCTTTGAAATCTGAGCAAAGGTGTTCTGGGAAGGATTCTTCAGTTCCCAGATGCTGTCACATGAATAGTAGCCACTTCAAAGACAATAGGATCTGGTCTTGAGCTCTGGCCATTTGTGAGTGGGATAAGAGGAAAGAGAGAAGGAAGCACAGTTTTACCCTTCTAGATAATCAGCCTATGAAATCATCCTTACTTCTAATGCCACTGTGTTATCAGTTCTTGGACAGAGGGAGGTTCCTTGACCTCTTAAATATGACCCAAGAGCTACATGGTAAAATCTACCCCTATTTCTTACCATGGGGTCCAGGAATAATGATGTGCCCTACCACCTGCCCTTCATGTCAGTCAGGGTCATGTAGAAATTCAACTGGTCTCGAGCCATTCTATGCCCTGATCCTTTAGAGGTGGGTGCATGCCGCAGCTTTTTCATGAGCCCTCCTGAGACTCTGTCCATCTACAGAGACAGGGAGAGCGGCATAGCATTGGAATCACAAGAGTGTAGCCCCTCCTTGCTGATGTGGTCAGCATGCACAAGGCTGTGTTTACAATAAAAGACTGGTGGTAGTTTTGCTGAGCAGACGTCTAGGAACCTATCCCAATGAACCCTTTTTATGCAGCTGGGCCACACATGCTCCCCTTAGCACTCAGTGTCCCAACGCTGATACTAGGAGTCCCTTTCTGAGCCTGGTCCACATCTACATGTCTACCAAAGTCCTACAGGTAATCTCAGTAGCCAGTTGAATTGTTTAACCACCCCCCCATTGCCTAACCCAGGGAGCCTCCCTCTCTTCCTCTTTCCATTTAAGTTTTATTAGCTGCAGGAAGTTGGCAGGCTATCCTTGTCTTTCAGTACCGAAGCATTTCAGTAAAGGCAGTCCCACCAATGTCTTGTTTGAAGGCCGTATGATGTGCACTCCTTCTGTCTATCACCAGCTTCTCTGCTACTTCTGAAATAACATCTGTAGCATCAACACAAGAGCAAATGCTTTTCTCCTGCCTCATGGTAAGTTTTCAGAAATGTGACCTTCATGGTCCTTTGCCTTTTCCATACTATTGAATACATGTTTGAGTGTCCTCAAGAAACCCAGCCAGGCTAATGGAGGCATTGTTAGCTGAGGACATGGATGACTTCATATGCAGGGCCCCTCAGGCTTTCCATCCAACTCTTTCTTTTTTCTGCCTCAGATACCTGCCACTCACAAAGCATCTCAGTGCTGTACTCCAGCCAGGCTCAAAAGCTTCTCCACCAGAGCTGACACAGCACTCACAGAAAGCACCCTCAGTTTCGGTATCCTGTAGTTTCAACAAAGCCCTAAGCAGCATGTTCCTACATAGGAACTGCACTTTAGCTCCCTTAGCAGGGCTCTCTCTGTCCTTACCTCATTTCCCCTTTTTCATCCCCAACTATAGGGAAAGAATCAAACTCTTTAGAAATTCAATATCTTAAGGAGAGAAGTTATTTTCCGTGCACTCTATTGCCTCAAGGAGTTCCCTAGGAACCTAAAAAGGCTTTACTACTCCCCATTTGCACTTTCTTCCATCATGAGCACACTTTCAAACACCATTTATCTTTCCTGACCCTCCAAAACCATCTGGCATCACTTAAATGGTATACTCAGCAGAGTTCTCTGGGATCTCCAAAGCAAACATAGCTCTATGAAGGTCCACATCTCTTCCATGATACCCATCTTTTAACAGTCTCAATGCCATTGCCTTGCAAATGCCCAGTGGTTCAATTTTATTTCTGAAAGGTTGGTTAGGTCAGATTGTGGATGGTCTGGAACAGAGGTTCATATACCAAAGAACATTAAAACCAACCATTGCTCTCTTGGAGGATGGGCTAGGAATGCTCCAGGATCAAAAGCCTCCGACTAGCCACCCCATGCTACTTCCCCAAGAGGAGTGATTTTCTCTCTTGCAAGAGATTCCTTTCACAATATGATGAGAACCCAAATACTTACTTTTGGGTAGGCCAGCTTTGGGATGACTTCTGGGCAATGCTAAGATTCAGAGAGTACTTACCTGATTAAATATTTCATCAAAAGTTGGTCGCTGTTCTGCAGCTTCAGCCCAGCACTGCTTCATTAGCTGGAGACATTCTGCTGGGGCATACTCAGGAGGAACAACTGGTCTGTACACAGGAGGAGGCTTCTTAAGTCTGTCTATGATTTCTGTCCAGAAACAAGAACAAAAGGTCTTAGAAATCGTAGAAAAAGCACTAGGATTTGGCAAAGATCATAGTTTTAGCCAAGAAAGGGGTTAATCAGGAAAAATAACAGAAAGCCATCTCCTTTGCTTTCTCCTTAGGTGGCTTGAATATAAATTGTATCTGAGCAGAGGATGTGTCATTCAATTGATGAGGGGACAAGAAAATAATCAGGTGGGCTATTAGTATAATTTAGGTACAGCTTTATCCTGCTTCTACTAGGTTTTAGATGTGGCCTATCTGACATTGATTCTAACACTACACACCTCCAATGATCTGGCTCCCTTCACTGACCACCAAATCATCTAAACTTTTCAGTCTCCACAGTAGACTGACTTAGCCCTCCCTGAAGGCCCAGGCCCAGCCCAGATCCATGCTGTGAGCCCTGCCTGGCCCCTAGGGAAAGAGGATTAAGAACTCCAGTCAATAGTTCAAGACCTCATCTGGATCCTCCTGACTGCTTGTCCTTAAACTTCACTTTCAGTGGAAAATTTACTACGTATCAGACTATGGACTAACCACACTGAATGCATTCTTTCATTAGATTCTGACTACAAACAGATGAGGTAGGAATCCTTATTTTTATTTTACAGAAGGAGAAAATGAGGGACAGAAAGAAAGTAAATTGCTCAAAGTCACAAGGCTAGTAAGTAACAGAATTTGAATTTGACCCCAGGCAGTCTTGCTTCCAAATGCCTCAGACTTCAAGTAGGAGTTCCAAAACTCCCTGTTCAAGACCCAAAAACCATTAGTGAGCAAAGATCTAGATCAGGGAGACTGAGAGAACTCCCTGTAAGTAGGAGAAAATAGTTAGCCTCCAATGTCCTCAGCAACCCACACTCAAACTGGACCAGCCTAGCCTTCTGCCAAACATTCTTAAAACACGAATCTGGCCATGTCACTTTCTTGCTTAAAACCCTTTCACGACTTCTCATAACGCAGAGGGTAAAATCCAAGCCCTATCTCTTGAGCTCATTTCTTATCCCTAAACACCTCCCAACACCCCCAACTCCAATATTCTTATCATGAACCAAACCTTGCTTGCCCCACCAGTGTGCCCTCCCCACCCTTACATTGGCTATAACACTCCAACAGTGTTGCTTCATACCATAGTAAGTGTCCCCTTGTTTCTATGAAAGAATTTCAGCTGTTGCCTCTGACTTCTCAGTGCCTTGTCTCATCACACTTCTGCTCCTTTAGCCCAGGTTGGCCTATACCAAGAATAGTTTCTCTACTGCAGCACCCTGCCCTCAGTGTAATAGATTCCATGTGAACCAATCCCTTGGGGTGTGACTGCCCTCATCTGCTCTCTGGTAAACGGAGTCCTTATCCTTTTACCAGAATACCACTGAGTTGAATGGGTTACCTCTCTGCTGAGGTTCAGCATAATTCATACCCTTCAGGACTTAATAGTCCAATTGAGGAAATAAACAATGACCAACAATATAAGCCTTCTAGCAGACATATACACAGGGATGCACAGAGGGGGCACCTTGCCCACACGAAAGAAGTTATAAAAGGTTTTCCAGGGCAGATGGTAAAAATTGGATGATGCAAAGTGGGGAGGTGAGGGCATTCCAGGAACTGTGAACAGCACTCTTGAAGGCACAAAGATAAGAGACCAAGGTGCATCCAGTCATGTGGTTTCGCTGGTGTGCAGGGGGTGACAGAAGACAAGCTTAGATACGTGGCTAGGGGCCAGATTATGAAGAGCCTTGTATGTCATGTGAGGAATCTGGGCTTCATTTGACAAATGATGGGAAACACTTAGAGAGTTTTGAGTAGAGGAATGATATGGGACTCTGAGTAGGGCAAAGGATAGTTAAGTACTTGGGGTTTCTTTGTTTTGTTTTATTTGCATTTTTTAATTTTTATCTTGAAATGAATTTAGACTTCCAGGAAAGTTGTAAAAGTAGTATAATAATTCCCTGTATACCCTTCACTCAGCTTCCCTAATGTTAATAGCTTATATAACCATAGTACAAAGGAAATGAACATTTGGTACAATACTAATACTACTGTTCTAGTCTTTATTTGAATTTCATCGATTTTATTCCTAATATCCCTTCTCTATCCCACAATCTTGAATCCAATTCAAGATCCCAATCTGCAGTTAATTATTGTGTCTCAGTCTCCTTCAATCCATGATGGTTCCTTATTCTGTCACTGTGTTTCATGACTTTTGATGAGTATTGGACAGTTATTTTGCAGAATGTCTCTCACTTAGGGGGTGTGTCTTATGTTTTCTCATGGTTAGATTCAGGTTATGCATTTTTTGCAAAAATTCCACAAGGGTGATATTGTGCCCTTCTTGGTGTATCACTTCAAGGGGTACATGAGGTTAACATGCCTTGATCACTTGGTTAAGGTAGTGTCTGCAGGATCCTCTGTTAGTAAACGTATTATTTTTCCACCTGTAATTAGTAAGTATCTAGAGGGTTTACACTCTTAGAATATGCAAATATCCTGTTTCCCCTCAAACTTTTGCCCACTGATTTTACCATTCATTGATGGATTGTGCCTGGTAGTCAAACATTTTCATGAAAGATGAGGATGAAAGCCTATGGTATGAAAATATGGAAGGACCTTGCCATTCACCAGCATCATGAGGGGTACTGAAATACCTGGCATGGAGTGTCTCAAAGTAGAGGAGGCTCCTAAAAAGAAAGAAAAAAAAAGGACCAACATAGGTCCTGTGGGTCCTTGGCTTGCATCACAGTTTGGGAAAAGCCAGCTTCTTGGGTTATGGAATTTCTTCCAAATGCCTAAATCTGTTTGGCTCCAAGTCCCACCCGTACACAACTCGAGTTATTTGCAGACTAGCAGGCAGTTAGCACAGACAGATAAGAGTGTTCACTCTTGTGGCAAATTATAACAGCCTGGGTTAGGCTGATGATCTGGGTCATGGTGGCCCCCAGTGCCCTTTTCTCACCTCCTGCTTACCTTTGGCAGGCAGATCCACCATGCAGAATGGGGTGCCCCGGACCATCACTTCTTGCATGATGATGGCAAAGCTATAGACATCTCCTGCAAAAGAACCTAACCGGCTGCCCTTTGGAGCTCTCAACAGTTCAGGGGCCGTCCATAGCAACTCTGAAAAGAAAGCATTGTGTAATAAATGCAGGAAGGATTAACTGACAGCATCTGCAATGCCCTCAAGGGTTCCAAGGGTGCTGTTTTATTGACTGCTTTATATTTTTATTAGATAGAATGGCATGCTAGTGCCCCCCAGGGTCCAGATCTATGAATCTAAGAAATTACGCACAGAGAAAGCATACTACTCTCCCCACTCCAGGACCATGCAGGCAGACACAGCAGAGGTGTGGGGAAGGGCAGAGAAGCTCAAAGTAGCAAAACTATCTGGCACTTTCTTTCTTGCTCTCTTGAACCTGCAAGTAGCAATTGGCAGGCTGCCAGGGAAAGGCAAGTGCACAACCACTCTAGTTGCCATGGATTTGCTGTTTGCTGAGATCTATATGTGCCTGGTAATTTGATTGTGTTGGAGCTCAGGGATTCACAAGTTGCTTTCTCCAGGTCTTCTCTAAGAGGATTAGAGGATCTCCAGGCTCCCTCTATTCCTCAGAGCAAAAAGGTGCAACAGTCCCTTCAAGTCAGTTCTACAACTATTTATTGAGGGTCTACTATGTACGAGGCACTATGCTAGGTACAGGGATGGTGCCAGAGATGAATTTGACCTTGCCTCTGCCCTCGTAGAATTCACAGACCAGTGGGCAAGACAGACCTGTGAACCCCTGACTGCAATACACGGCAGGGCCACTTAAGTAATGTAGAAAGAAATACACATTAATAATATAAATGGACTAGTCAAAAGTTGGAGGCAGCCTTTTACTTTGAATCATATGAAATTGCCATTTCTGTGGGTCAAAAATGGTTGAATATTGGCAATTCCATGAAGTTCAAACTAGAAAAAGAGAAAACAGCTGGTCAAATTAATCCAGGAAGGCTTCCTGGAAAAAGTTAAATCTTGAAGGAGTTTGTTCAAAAGGTCAAGGATGCAGTTTCCTAGAGCTGAGAGGGTAAGGGCTTTGCAGGGAGAAAGAACAGTACGTGCAAAAGAACGAGAAGTAGAAAGGAGCAAATTGCAGATGGGGGTGGTGGTAAGCAGATTAGCTTGGCTGAAGAGAAGGGCTCTGTTAAGGAATAATGAGAAATGAGAAATGGGCTTGATGAAGTGGGGGAGGGAGAGTGGCTGGAAGAATGAGGGCAGAAGGTGAGAGGCCCTGAGAGCCAAATGAAGGCATTTGGAGTGAATACAAAAGGCAGTAGGGGTGCGGGAGCTGGAAAGGGATTTGATGAAAGCTGTGTTTGGAAGATTAATCTGGCAACCTGCACAAACTGGATTGAAGAAGGAGAGAGGCTGGAGTCAGGGAGACCAGCTAGGAAGTTATTACAGTAAGAGCCAGAGGCGAGGGCAAGGGGACCAGAATGGGGGATGGGGGATGGGGGCAGCAGCAGCAGGACAGGGAACCAGATACACAGGAAGGCTATAATGAAGGTAGTGACTGGGCTGAGGATGGGATTCATGAGCTCCTTGGAGGGGAGATGTTTGGAGTAAACAAGGGGTTGAAGTCCAGGAAGGCAGTCTGGAGAAGAGTGTCTGCTGAGGGTGAGGGTGAGTGCAGGGGGAAGTGCTGGCTAACTTTTCATCTCTATAAATTTGGGGTATTGAGAAGGGATCCCACAGGACTAGCCCATGGGAAGCAGGCCGGAGGATGGAAAGGTCAGAGGTTATTTTGATTTGTTAGTGAAACTTGGGAAAGAGAAACTCGCCCTGGAAATTCCTATTTTGAGCCAATCCTGATCAAAATGGTGGAACAGGGAATTCTAGCCTCACCCCCAATCATGTACTCACTTTCTCCCTTTGTCTCCCAGATGTCTCCAGCCTTTGTCCCACACCCCTACATTCTCCCACCCTCATGACATTCTCTGATATTTTTACTATAATGATTTTGCCATTATATCTTCTTATCTAGGAGGATTTGTATTTGCAAATAACCAAAAGATTGAACATTACTTTGGTGAAAAGAATACATTTCTGACTGTGGGATTTCAGGAATACATTTCTGATATGGTTTGGAGGGGCGAGGGGGGGTGTATCTTGGAGCAAGAAAAACGCAGCTGCTTCTTCTGTTACCCTCTCTCCTGCACATTTAAAAGCACAAGAAGGGAAAAGAGGGCGAAACTCTCTGGTAAAAAGCGAGGTGATTAAATACAATCATTACCAAATAGTATTTTCAAAGAGCACTTACATGTATGTTGTTAATGGCTAAAATGAGGCTTTATCTGCACTATACTTACATAATTGAAAGTGGACAGTAATGAATACACTTACAACCTACCCCCATTTCCCCATCCGCACTCCAGAGCCAAGTAAGAGCCACTACCTGCCATTAGACTTGAACTCTCAGGAAAACTAGAAAAATTACTTTGGCTTGTTTTGTATCTGCTGATGCCAGTACTAACTCTGAGCCTTGCTATGGTGATAAAAATCAACTGTGGAGAGCCAGCGTGGTGAAGTGCAAAAGAAAGTAGAGCTGAAAGTCAAGAGACAGGGGTTCACAATCTTAGCTTGGTCACCTTACCAAACCTCAGCTTCCCCATCTGTAAAATGGAAGTTGAGCCAGATGATTTGCAAGGGCCTCCTAATTATAAGATTCTATTAGCCCTGTCATCTAAGAGGGAAGCAGTAAGGTTCATTATTTCATTTTATTCGATCAATTCACTGATTCAACAAACATTTGTTTTGCCAGATGCTGTGAAAGGCACTGAGGGAGGCAAGCCTGTTTCTTGCCTTTGCAGAGCTTATAGGTTGGGAAGGGAGAGAAGACAGCATGCCATATCAACAAAGTATGATATTACAACTGGAGCGCCTGGGTGGCTCAGTCAGTTGAGCGTCCGACTTTGGCTCAGGTCAGGATCTCACAGTTTGTGAGTTCGAGCCCCGTGTTGGGCTCTGTGCTGACAGCTCAGAGCCTGGAGCCTGTTTCAGATTCTGTGTCTCCCTCTCTCTGCCCCTTCCCCGCTCATGCTGTGTCTCTCAGAAATGAATAAACATTTTTAAAACATGTTTTTAAAGTATGGTATTACAACAAAGTTCAGGGGCACCTGCTTGGTTCAGGGTTAAGCATCTGACTTCGGTTCAGGTCATGATCTCACGGTTCACAAGTTGGAGCCCCACGATGGAGTCTATACTGACAGCTCAGAGCCTGGAGCCTGCTTCAGATTCAGTGTCTCCCTCTCTCTTTGCTCCTCCCCTGCTTGCGTTCTGTCTCTCTCCCTCTCAAAAAATAAATAAACATTTTTAAATGTTTAATGTAAAAATACAACAAAGTTTAAAGCCCTAAGGATCATAAAGAGAGGAGCTTAGCTGAGCAAAGGGGGTCATGGAAAGTCTCTTAAATCAGTGGTATTAAAGTTAAGCCCTGAAGAAAGAGTAGAATTTAGCCAAACTCAGAAGAGTGTATAACAGACTGGGAAGGGAAGAGTATCCCAAGGAATGGGCACAGCATGTGTGAAGACCTGCAAGTAAGAGAGAGCCTGGGGTAAAAAACTGGAAGGAGCTCAGTACTGCTAGAGCACAGATGTGGAGAGGGAGTGATTAAGCACGAGAGGTCCACAAGGCCCAAACCACACAGGGCTCATAAGCCATGTAAAGGAATTTGAACTTTATCCTAGGAGCAATGGGAAGCCATTCAGTGAGTTTTGGCACAGCTGTAACATGATCAGATTTGCAGTTGAGAAAACTCCCCTCTGGCTGCAGTGCGTGAAGAGTGGATTTGAGCATCCAGACTGCCATTGCAATTTGGAGAGTGAAATGAAGCAGTAAGAGGGAGAGACAGCAAGAGACAGACCGGATCCATACACACACACACACACACACACACACACACACGCACTATCTTTTCCCCACTCTAATACCAGAGCTTCTTAAGTTTGCAAGTTGCCAACCTGTGAATTAAGTGGAACTCTGGGTGGCTGGTCATTGTGTTTTATCTTTTATAGATGACTCACAGTGACAGGAAGCTAAGTACTTGCCAATCTGCAGCCGTTGTCCTCAACATCCTCAGCATTAACACCAGGCAACTATTCAAGATTTCAAATTGGAATTAGCCAAACAATAACCATAAGACTAAGTTGGCAACAAGAACAGGTCCACAGAAAGGGGGTGGGGGGCGGAGAGAGAAAGAGAGAATATCACATGGTTTTTACTGTGATTACCAGGAGCTTCAAGTCCTCCAAAGTATGGATGGGCAGAGAAAGGAAAATGTTATTATAAGCCATAATTTAGCTAGATGTAGGGGCCAGTCTTCCAAAAACCTGAATTGAATTCCTGGCACTGCTGCTAAGTAGCTGCAGGACTTGGGCAAACCTTGAGTCTCAGTGATCTCATCTGTAAAATGAGAAAGTTGGACTAGATGCCTCCCTAAAGTTCAGTATTCCATAAGTTTTATAGAGCACGAAGATGATGCCACTGATGGCTGAGCTGTCTGTCTGTCTGTATGCATGTGTCCTCCCTGTGTCTTTCAGTTTTCGTTTCTCTTATGTAGTAAAGTCTGCAGTGTGAAAAGTTCCAATGCCACAGACTCTTAAGAATATGAGTATATGTTGTAATCTTGATATGTCCCTCTGTCTGCCTTTTTGGGGTTGTCGGTTTCTCTGTGTTTTTATGTCACTCTCTTCTTCACCCTTGCAGTGCTGGTCAAAACCTTTAATGCCCAAGTTTCCTATATGTATTTAACTCAGTTCATTCTCTCCTTCTCTACTCTTTCTCTTTCTTCCCTCTTCTCTTCCATCAGTAAATTCCCTCCTATTTTTCACTCACCCACTCCCAATTCCCCATCTCCGATTTCTCCTTTTTCTTTGATCTGTTATGACCCCTACAGGCATTGTTTGGTGCTGCCACCGGGGCCCTAAACAGAAGACAAAAACATAAAACGGGAGTTTACAGGCATGCCTACTTATTTACTAGAAGGCCATACTTCTGTCTGAAGCCATCCCACACAACCCACAGAGTATTTACTTGTTAGGAGCCCTCTCCTTGCTTCTTTCTCTCAGACTGAGACAGTGAGGGTAGGCTCTAGTGACATCCCATTCCAGCATGTGCTTCGTGGGGGTCCAGCTACCAAATTACCTTCCATTCAACTTGACAGGTATTTATTGAGTACCTACTGTGTGCCTATAGCTCAGCAAGTTCCTCCAGAGACTCCTGGGGTCTCCAAACAATACCGCTTAATCCTGCCACAGCAGGAACTCAACATTATTGCACTGGCTTTGTTCTGAAGGGTAGGCTGTGCTGAGATTACAGCCTGCAGACTTCATTCGACTCCTTTGGCTTGGAAATGAGGCTGAATTTTCAACAAAAGTGGGTAGTTGAATCGGCCTGAGGCTTTAATTCAGTGCGTATTCTCATTTGAATTTTGGAGTTACCTTGTATGCATCAGAAGGGCATAATACATTGCTTACCTTCTGCAGAAGGTTCCTCTTGGGAGAGTCTTAGTGTTTCCAAGATATCATTAAAGCCATAATCTGTCACTTTTAGTACAAAACGCCCATCAACCACACAGTTCCGAGACTTCAGCCTCCCATGAGCAAACTCTCTGTGGTGTAAGTACTTCATGCCCTGCAGATGATACAAACAGGATTTATTTAGTAACTAATTTAACTATTTTGTGCTTTTAGAAGCCAGTGTCTGAGCTTGTTAATGGTATGAGCTATTATAGTCAAGAATTCAGCCCTTTTTTCTTATATGCAGGCAAAGCAAAATTTTGACAAGAATTATTTCCAGGTCCCTTCCAGCTCTAAAATTTTATGCTTTGATGAATAAATGTATCTTGTATGTATAGAGAAGTGTCTGTTATTGGGAGATTTATTGACATTTCAAACATAGGATAGATCCATGCATACATAATTTCCAAGAATTGAAAGATTCTGATTTCCCCCCAAAAGGTCTAGCCCAACTTTCATCCACCATTGGCAGGAATGAAAATTGGTTCACCTTTTTGGTGGGCAATTTGGCAACAGGTATCAAAATTGAAAGCATGCATACCCTGTGACCTAAGGATTCTGCTTCTCCTCTAAAGAAATGCTTGTACATCTGCACAAGGAGACATACACCAGAATGCTCAAGGCAGCTCTGCTTTATAATATTATATCATTAAAACTATAGTAAATATGTATCAAGAAGGAACTGTCCAAATTGTGGTGCATCCCAACTGTGGAATATTCTCCAGCAGTTAACAGCAATAAAATAGATCCGTATGTACGAACAGGGAATCATCTCTAAGCCATAAAGTAAGTGAAAAATACTAAGATGCAAAACTATGTGACAGCATATATTTTTAAAAACAACCAAATCTATAATGTATGTAAATACACATGAAATGAATTGCAAGGTTAATCATCAAATTGTCATCAGTGGTTAACTTTGGGGGAAGATGTGAAAGAGGCTTGAGTAAATGTCAATGTATTCCCATATATATTTATATCATGTGATTTTAAATTTCATTTAATACGGTATTTTTGTAATTAAAAATATAACATGAAAGCTGAATACTGCTGATCTTTGCAGCTTGCTGGGCAACTTTATATGACATTCAAATGTAATCCACCAGGACTCTATCAGATGGGTTTATTCATTCACATATAAATGCAATTCATATTCTAGTGCAATCATCTCAAAACTGTTTATGCTGAGCCCTTTTAAGTACGTTGCTCTATTTTGTGGCCTGACACTCCTTTGTATTTGTATGCTTTACATCCTGTGCCCTCAGAAAATCTGCAGTCCCCAGTACTTCCAAGCCAAGTCTGCAGTGGGTGAGATTTCCCCCAGGGTTGTCTAATGCTTGGCTTTCATTTATCATGGGCCTGAGAGGACCATCATTTAGAAGATTCTCCCTTAACTCACGGGACCTTGCTTATAGGATGAGTGGAAAGAGTACTAGAATTGAAATCAGGAGATTTGGATTCTATTATCAGCTCTGCCACTTAATAGTTGGCTGATAAATATTTATTGAGCACTTACTATGTATGGCAGACACTATATAACAAAGTATACCTCATTTAGCTTCTCTGAACCTCCGTAAAAGGAGGCTAATCACATTTATTTTATGGACAATTGGAATGCGATAATGTCTGTAAAACTACCTTGAAAAAGGTTAGGCCACAATAGAAAGGTCAAGACTGGTCAATATGCAGGAAGCTCAACAAATCATTGATTAAGCAGTTCAGCTCCATAAAAATGCATGTAGATAAAATTTGCATATTATTCCAAGGAGTTCAAGGACTGCACTAAAGCCAATACATAGACCCATCCATGAACCCCCTTAGCTGTCAATAGTCCTTGCCTCAGAGAATGGAGTTGCTGCCCAATAGACCCTATGGTCTTTTGGCTTTCTGGTCATGCTGAGTTTTATATTTACACCAATGGTATGTAAAGACCTGTCACCTACTTCTAGACTGAAGCACCTTTTAGAAGGCGAACCAGGAGATGAAGCTAAGCAGCACCAAAGGATCTGGGAATGAGTACTTTTCCACATCCAGAACGCAGAGAAACAGGATGGAAGAAAGTATTGCTTAAGGCAAAGAGTGCTCAATGGCAACAGGAAGTAAAGACAAATCTGGCCCTCAAATTGAGGAACAGGGGTGGGAAGAGTAAACCTTTTCTATATCAGTACCTTATAATAGATATGGACAAAGGGACTACGAGAAGGGATGGGGGCAGACCATGGGTAGGAAGGTGGAAGAGTGAGATCATCACAATGACCCAAGGAAAATAAAACATCCCAAAAACATTTAAATTCTAATCTCTAGAGAAAATCCAAAATTTCCTCAGTCTTTCCATTAACCTTGATGAGATCCAACAGAAGTGATGATTTAAACATCCAGTCAAGTTTCACATCCTGATTTGTCAATATGTCTTCTAGGCTCCTTCTGGAACAGAATTCTGTCACAATGGCAAACATTCCTGAATCATAGAAGAAGCCCAATAAAGGGTTAATATTTTCATGACGTAGGTCCTTCATCTGGAAACAGAGGGAGAGAGAAAAGTCACAACTGTCCTGTCACAACTGGGGACTAGAGTTTAGAGCACATACCCTTCTCTTCATTCTTCCTATGAATGGTTGCTGTGATAAGCTGAATTTTGGCCCCCATTATCTCCAATCTCTGATTTTAGTCCTGTGATTGTTATGTTATATTGCAAAAAGTAGGCCTAATCTGATTATATGAGTCCTTCAAACCAGAAGAGGAGGGAGGAGCAAGAGTCAGAGAGATTCCAAGTGTGAGGACTCAACACTCCATTGTTGACTTTGAAAATGGAGGAAGGAGGCTACAAGTCAGGTAATATGGGCAGCCTCTGGAAGCTGCAGACAGCTCTCAGCTGACACCCAGCAAGGAAATAGGGACTTCAGTCTTACAACTGTACAGAACTAAATTCTGCTGACAATCTGACTGAGCCTAGAAGTGATTTACCCCCAGAGACTCCAAATAAAGGTCCAGCGTGACTGATACCTTAACTTCAGCCTTGTGTGATACTAAGTGGGGCACCCAGCTGAGTACACATAGACTTCTGATCTACAGAACACTGAGATAATAAATGGGTGTTGTATTAAGCCACTAAGTCTGTGCTATTTTGGTATGGCCATAAAGGTTCTGCTCGCCAATTCCACTGTGTCTGTTGGGGAAAGGGGCTTCCCACATAACCAAGCAATTATTCAACACCAGCTGGGTGTCCTATAATTCAATTTTGACAATACCTGCCTGGAGATAGCATCAGATACCACAAGCTAAGGGTTCAGTTCTACAAGATTGCTCCCATACACACACACTTCAGACACCAGTGACAAATCCAGGTCACCTGGGCTTCTGACAAACCAGGAATAGATTGGAGGTTCCAATAATTTGCTAGAGTGATTCGCAAAATTCACAGAAGCATTTTACTTACTAGGTTACCAGTTTATTATAAAAGGATATAATTCAGGAACAGCTAGATGGAAGAGATGCATAGGGCAAGGTATAGGGGAAAGGTGTGGAACTTTCATGCCCTCTCCAAGCATGTGTCACTCTCCCCAAATCTGCACATGTTCACCAACCTAGTAGCTCTCCAAACCCTGTCCCTTGAAGTTTTTATGAAGGCTTCATTACATAGACATGATTGATTAAATCATGGGCCATTCATGATTCATTCAACCTTCAGCCCCTCTCCCTTCCCCAATTGTCAAGGGGGTGGGACTGAAAGCTTCAACCTTCTAATCACGTGGTTGGTTCCCCTGGCAACCAGCTACCATCCTTAGATGTACTCCAAACATCTCGTTAACATAATAAAATACACCTTTACCATTCTCCTCACTTAGGGAATTCCAAATGTTTTAGGAGCTGTGTGCTAGAAATAAGGATGAAAACAATATATATATATATTATAAATATATTATATATATGTAGTATATATATATATATATATACAGTATCATAGGCAGTGATAGAAAATTAATGCAATGGTCAGAGGGAGATTTTAGAGAGAGATCTATCTTAGCATATTCTACATGAATATTAGGTCTGTGGCCTTCTTCCTGATTCGTTGAGGACTCTGGAATGGAGCTCAGTGAGCCAGAAGAACTAAAGAAGTTTAATACAATAACAGATTGTCTATTTGTGGATATTCATCTCTCCAGTGTCTATTAAAATAAATAGCCTACATAAACATCAGGCCAAACTCTATAAAACTTGTTTCAGAAGAAACATCTAGAATTTTTACCACATTTTCCCTTTGCATCATTAATTTTTTCACTAATGCAAAAAGCATTCAGTGTGTGCCCACATGTCCAAGGCACTGGACTACATACATGCTAGAGATGCAGAGATACACAAAATGAAAAGAGCTCACATTCAAAGAGGGGAGATAGAAAAATAAGCTGACAGCTGTATTTTACTGTGAAATGTATTCTTATGGAAGGTTGCATGGCATGCTGGGGGAGCTCAGATGTTAATTCAGCCTGAAGGATCAGAGAAGCCTTCCGTGAGGAGGTAATGTCTTGACTGCCAGGAAGGACAAATACGGGTTGACCAGATGAAGGTGACAGGGTGGGAGGGGCTGAGAGTAGAAGCATGTTATGTTGAGGAAATTGAAACAGGTTTAGGGTGGCCAGAACAGAGTGTAAGGGAAAGAATATGAGACAAAAGACTGGAGAGAGAGAGACAGGAACCACATTCCATGGGTCTTTGACAACCTTGATACGGTATTTGAAATTTATATTATGGGCACTCAATAATTGCTATCTACTATTCTTACTATTTAAAGGGGATGAGAGGGAAAAGGGCTCCATGATCACTTCCAGATTTCTACCTGGATTCCTGGGCAGATAGCAGTTCTATATATTGATATAGGGGACTCAGGGATGGTGTAGTAATGGATATGTTGGTGTCCCACCCATTTCCCCTTTACTGTGCATCACTCAGCTGCTGTGAATGTTGGCTGATAACTCACAGCTGTTCCATTCTCAGGAAAATTGTCCTAGGGTCCAAGCCAAATGGAAGCCAACTTACCTTAAAGGTTTTGTCCCACCCACAGACCTTAGCCAATGATTGACTCCCTGGGAATGGTACAAAAGTCCAACTCCCTGGCCTCAAGGTGGGACTCCTGATATAACTTGCACTCCAGCATTTTCCCCATGAGATCACACTGAAGCTAGTCTCCAGCTGAGATCACATACTTGCTGAACTATTACTTCTGCCCTATGCTGCTTCCCTCACTCCCTTTCTCTTGAAGCAATGAGTAATCTGAACAAGAATCTCCTCTCAGGCCCAACTTTTAGAGAATCTGACCTAAAATAGATGAAAAAACAAAATTTTGGTGATGAGGAAGGCCAATTAATTCAGCTTGGGAATTGTTAAGAATGAGGTGCCTGTGGGACATCAAGGTGGAACTATTCCAAAGACAGTTGGATATTCAGGGTTTGGAGCTCAGGAAAGAAGTCTGATCTAGATGGATAAATAAACTCAGGAACTGTAAACATGCAAAGCATGGTATATGAAATTAATGGGAGTGGCTAAGATAGCCCAAGGAAAGCCTACAGAACAAAAAGAGAACAGGAAAATATCAACATTTAAAAAATGGTAAAAGGAAGAACATCCTACATAGACTTAGAAATAAGGCCAGGGAAGTGGATAAAAGACTGTTTAGAACAATATTATGAACACCACAGAAAGAGTTTCAGGAAACTGAGGTAAATGACAGAAAGAATTTCAGGAAAATGTTATCAATACTAGAGAAGTCAAATGAAGATGAAGACAGAAAAGTAGCTGATGAATTTGACCATCAATAAATTATTAATAATAGAAACTTACCCTATTAATATGTTTACACAGATATACAAAGATATATATATTCTAAATATATTTCACAAATTGTACCTACATTTCATGTGGGAAATAAGGAAAAGGATTAAATCACAAATTATTCTATGTTGAGCATTGAGACTACAGTGGGACATTTATTGAGATGGAGTACACTGGCTTAGAATATGAGTCTACTTCTCCAACAGGGTGATGTAAGCTGAGGTTAAATTATCCCTAGTGGAACTGGCAGCTATTAACCATTAAAGGTGCCTTTTAAGCATAAAAGCCTGGCACCCATGACAAGTCATTTAGTACAAATGCAGCTTAAACCAGCTAAGACAGACATGGAAATTCAGCCCACACTAGTAAAGTGGGCACTTTCTATTAAAGTTTTATTGTACCATCTCTTATGGAGCAAGCAGCCAATACTATAGGTTCTAAACCTCTTTTAGAAGACAGAATACAAAGTGTCTATGTCTGCCAGCTATTCAACACAAATATTTCCTTTTCTTATTCAAAAAACATCTAGTCCACATTTTATAGCCTCCCCTGGAGCTAACTGTAGCCATATGACTGAATTCTAAGGAGTGAAATGTAAGAGGAAGTGACATGTGCCATTTCTAGGCTAAGGCTTTTAAGAAGTAAATATATGCCTTTCATGTTATTTTTCACTTGTATAGATGAATGCAGATGATGGCAGTGTCCTAGAAGAAGACAGAGGCATAAGATGGTCATATCTTATGATATGGGTCCCCAAATCCCTATATTGGAAAGAAGTCACCTGCCAACAAAGAACACCTGCATTGTACTGTTATTTGGATGAGAATTAAACTTCTTCTATGTTTGAGACATTAAATATTTGGGGGTCTATTTGTCACAGCATCTAGCTTTACACTAGGAGCCTTAGCATGGAAAAAGTTCAGGCCTGGGTTTTCCCTAGATCTTTACAGTCATATGTCCTCAGCTACAACCAATAGAGAAGAGCCCACATAGGAACCAGGTAGATACTTACATGCAGTCATGTCCTACTGATATTCTGGACAGCCCAAGGAAGCAAAGAATCTTTGGAACACCTTTTTTTTTTTTTTTTTTTTAGCAAGATGGTCGTCTCAACATTTCCTGGGCAATCATGTACCTCACCCCTTCAATAATATGTCCCTAAGTGGTTGCCATCAAATGTTCAAGACTCCAATTGTCCTGTCTCCCAAGATGTTTGTTAGTACTGCACCTACATAAAAACTTTAAGCATTCAATCACCAGAAAAAAACTGGTCCTGAGTCAAGCATTAGCTTAAGTGGTCTTAAAGATAGCTTTAACTGCTTGAAAATGTTTCTGGGACATAGTAACATCAGCATAATTCCTACTTGCACTGCAGCTGCAATACCACATCAGTACCTGCCATTGCTATATCAGCCATTGCTACATGTTTTGGCAATAAGGTTTTCTACCTCCATGGACTAAATGGCTGCTTATGTCTGTTTCCTCTATTTCATTTTGTTTTGTTTTGATGTAGAGAGCTATTGTTCAAGACCTCCTACCCTTGTACCAACCTATTCACTCTTTACCACCTAGAGGTCAATGGTTGTGTAGAACATATTAACCAGGTATTAGTAGATTTCTGATGCTATGTTTCCTGCTGGTAACACTTTATTAATTTAAAAAGCATGTGTTGAGTACCTTATTATATGTT